CCCCCCCCCTTCAAAGAAATGCAATGATATTTATTAATTAATAATTTTTAATATTTGAAAAATGTATTTGCAACTTGAAAAAAACGTTTCTCCACCAAATTAGTCATATGGTCTAACCAACATGTAGAAAAAATGTTAGTCTTAACATCAAGAAGTCATTTAAAATATCAGATAATTTTACCATTTTATGGCAAAGTTAGTTAATGTTGTGAAGTGTCGTGTGGTGCAACTCCCCATAAACTTTATAATTCATAATATTTGAAAATATGTCTTTGTACCTTGAAGAATATATTATTATTAATAATTTAAAAATAAAAATAAAAGTCATATGATAAAAAATAAAGTCATATGTTATAACCAAAATGCACAAAAAGCATGAAGATCAATAAGTCTATTAAAATGGCAGATAATTTGACCTTTTTATGACAAGGCAAAGCTAGTTAATGTTTTTAAATGTCATTTGGTGCAACTCTCCAAAAACCTAATGATATTTATGAATTAATCATTTGTGATTTTTGTAAAAACTGCTGTGTACTTTGAAAAATTTATTTTAAAACTTTTAAATAAATTATGAAAAATAAGTTTTATTGATGATTACACCACATGACATTTTTAGAGTCAATAAACATGAAAAAAGTCTTTCTTGAAAATACTTTAAAGGTTTATCAAACCCATGTGAAACCAACAGATATTCATATGTCATTGACCCTTGTCTAAATTATGCATGTTGTAGTCAGCATTAAATCTAACCAGCATCATAATCGCTTCCCCCCGCAGAGGATCGTCTGGAAGGCTTGAGATTGGTTAACGCTCCACACCTCAGTCAACCTGAGATTATGGTGACACATTTTGCCCACGAGTCTTTCCTGGCACCTCTAGTCGAACACGAGGGTGAAGCCTATTTGGAAAGGACTGGTGGTGTCCGACGCCACACAGTCGCCAATGTGCATTCGGACATCCAGCTCCTGTCCGTGAAAAACAGGATGTGTTCAAAAAAAGTGGAGGTCAGTGGGGCAGCCAGGATGACCAAGACAGAGAGCAAAAGGACACCTAAGACTTTCTGCAGTGAACCGGCCTTTTTTGACTCCCGGTCAGGTGGCGTGGAAATCCTTCGAGGGCAAAGCACTGCAGAGATGAAGTGTGGCCTAACTAGTTAGGAAGCTTCTCTCTCACACTCTCAAAACACCCACTGAGATCTTGTAAAGTTACGATAACTGAGACAAGCTAGAACATGTTCGCTTAATACAATATGGACTCTACTGCTGTGGAAATGTGAGCTGTTTTGTGTGCTAAATACTGTTTGGCCTGTCAGTTTAGCCTTTTTTTAAGAGCTTGGAGAGTGGAGGGTGGTTTAAGAAGCTTTTACTTCAGCCCTTTTTTTGTAAAGCATGCAAAAAGTCACACTTCTTTCTGTCGTGGAGGTGGTAAAATGGTGTGAAAATATGCTGGTGAGCTAACGGTTTACAAAGGTACAGCAGAAACCATACTGAGACACATTTGATCACAAACTAACTTCACTTCCTTACATTTAATGTCTTTACCTTCTCTTTCTTAAGCGATCTTACCATTTCATTTCTTTGTAGTGGAAACTGCTGACCTAAAGAAAAATATGATTTTTAGTCTTTTTATGAATATTTTGTTGGAATTTTAATATTTAAAAAATACATTTAAAATAATTAAAAAATAAAATTAATTCAGTGTGTGTGTGTGTGTGTGTGTAAAATAATGTATATTTTTGTAGTAATTTAATGAAGAAAGTGGTTTTGAAATCATTTTGGCATTTGATTGTTCATTTTTGCTGTATAACACAGGACTGTACGTCTAAGGTTTGAGTAGATGTCTTTAAAGGTTCACGTGAACATTTCTTTGTGTCTCTGGCAAACAGTTTAGAGTTCCTTTAGCAGATTAGCTGTTAAGGAGCTTTAGATGCTGTTTTCAAAATCAACATCACCTCAGAAAACCTTTGTGGCAGTGTTTCAGCATGTGAGCTGCCAAAGAGCTTTATTTCGAGTGTACTAATCAAGGACTTTTGACTTTTGAAGGTAAGAGCAGATGGTTATGTGTTTTATCAAAGACAATGTTTTGTTTGCTTTTTTGTATTTAATTTTATTAATTTAGCTTGGTTGTATTTGGAATGTGAATATTTTAAAACTTAATTTTGAATGAAGTTAAGAATTTGGAGTGAAAATGTGCTAAACTAATTGAATATGAATGTCATGAATATAAAATGAAAATAATGTCACAATACAAAAAAAATCTTAATGGTAAGAAAAAAGGCTGTTGAAAATATTATATTTATGTAAATATCAGCTACTATTCTTTTTTCAGACTTTAGTAAGTTCCTCTTCTGACTGCCACTGGAAGGAAGTTCACTGTAATCTTATTTGAGGTGATAAGTTCAGTAAGGCTTTCCTATTAAGAAGATAGGAAAATTGTGCAGCCAAAGGGCACGATAACATGGGAAGTAAAGAAAAAAATTTACTGGTCTTTGATGCCATCTTCTGGAAGTTTTACTTGATTGCAACTCATAGTCAATAAAAATGAGTTTCCGTTTCATACATTTCTGTTTTTAGAGTTAGAGGGTAGAGTAATGTAATGAGTATGTATGTATGTATATAATATATATATATATAATATTGTGATTGATGATAAGCTGAATTTCTCAGACAACATAGCTAAAACTGCCCGGTCCTGCACCCATTTACCTAAATTCATTACTTCAGAGTTATGTGCCCTCTAGAAGCTTGCGTTCTGCAAGTGAACGACGCATTATTCAGGGTTCCTACGCTTCTTGAAAGTACTTGAATTTCAGACATATGGATTCAAGGCCTGGAAAGTACTTGAAAACAAACATAGGTCCTTGAAAGTGCTTGAAGTCAATTTGAAAAAAAATGTGTTTATGCAGCGATTACGCTACGACGGATTTCTGTCAATTGGGAAAAAAATTAGAGGAAAAGAAACATGTAGCGCATTGTTGTTGCTCTGCCGGCACACCAAACACAAAAAAATAATAATTCCCGGCCACTCCTGCAGCTTCTCAGTGACAACATAGTGACGCCAATGTGATATTGATTCAATACAACAGTTCAGTAAACAAGTACTGCCTGATTTTGCT